ATATATATATATTGTATCGAATACATCTTCATCCTTTTGAAGTTGTATTATTAAATACGAAAGTACTTAAGGAAATTCCTGTTTCTATCCTTCCTTTGTGGTCTAACACTATATATATATATATATATATATATATATATATATATATATATATATATATATATATATATATATATATAATATGAACATATTATATATAATATGAAACCTCCACACCCAAGTTTGGTGGTGTGGTGGTTCAAATAGCCTCGGCTATCACCACTTTTTGTACGGTCACTGATGGTCGTGTGGTTTAAGGCACCGTATATATATATATATATATATATATATATATATATATATTTTATATATATATATATATATATATATATATATATATATATATATATATATATATATATATATATATATATATATATATATATATATATATATATATATAATATATATATATATATATATATATATATATATATATATATATATATATATATATATATATATATATATATATATATATATATATATATATATATATATATATATATATATATATATATATATATATTATATTTTTGAAGGGAATACAACCTCTGGCTGGAAAAAGGGAACCCTTAGCCTCGGAGGAAATCACACACAATGCATTAGATGGAATGTTTAGGTCCCCTCCAATACAGTTTATTTGTGCTTTTCTCCTACCACCCCCCTCCTTTTGTATTTTGTTGTGCTTTATGAGATATTTAAAGGTTACAAGATGTACATTAGTTAATAAAATAGGGTTTAAAGGTTATGGATCTCTTGGAGCTCCTCCACTTCCGGCCAGGAACTGAGGATGCAGCAGCCATTTTCCCCTCTGGATTGCGACACTAAGGCACTGAAACAGGAAACTGGCAGCATTGGGTCTCTGGTGATGTCACTGAGCCTGGAACCCAATTCTTTGAGGAATTCCAGGGCACTCTTACCCCAGGGGCCATGCATCTCAGATGCTATGGGAACAAAGGTGTATTGACCTTCCAGTTGCCTGTACTTGATTGATTTTGCTGTTTTCCTGTGGTTGGCTGCCCCACCTGCTTGATCAACACTGAAGCGTATGTATTTGTTGGCTATGTGGATACACATGTGTAGTCCCACGCCAGCTGTCTGCCCCTCTTCCAGGAGTATTTTGTGATGCCGTCTGGGTGAAGTGGGGGTTATCTGGGTTTTGGCTTCCTAGGATGTGAGGTTCGCTCTCCGCTGGGCACTGAGCCGAGACAAGGCTCCTCTTGATGATGTTATTGACCTCTTCGTGTCTTGCATGCCAGCCCTTGGATTCTCTGCAGTGCAACTCATGCAGTCCATATTGGTCTGCTTCCACCCTGTTGCAAATACACTTGTATTCAGTGTGAATTGGGGCACCAGTCAGCGAGCCACTCCTACACAAAAGGATTCTGGATTTAGGCGTGTGCCCATTGCCAACATAGGTACTGCCAGAAGTAAGTCTCCTGCATGGGGGGATCACTTACTGCTCTGAGGCGGGCTTTATCTTTGTCTGATGTTGCAGCGCTGAGCATGGCATCAGCTATTTTTTCCTCTAGTGGGTGGTCCCAGCTGGTCTGTTTATGTTTTTTTGTTGGATCTATGATGGATGCTGGGGCTGCAACAGCATTCCATTGATTTGAACATTCGGTGAAAGCAAAATCGTGTATTCCTGGTAAATCACTCGGGGGTTCAGGTAGGGTATCTCTTACGAGGTCGTGCAGTGCACGGGAGGAGGAAAGGAAGACCTACTGTATAGGGGGGTGTCAAGGCAACGGTTTCTGTGCTTCATAATAATTAATTTTTTGAGAGAAGGAAAGGAGAGGGGAAGGGGAGGAGGACTAAGGTGACAGGGTCAAGTGCACCAAGAGAGGGGAAGAAGTAAGGGAATGGGGTCAAAGGGAAGATAAGGTGAAGATTGAGGAAAAAGGGGCAAGGGTGGAAGAGACTTTGGTGAACTGGATACCTCTTATATATACATAGAAAGGAAATGTTAGCTTGTTCAAGGTGGGGGGATGGGTTATAGCTCTCATCATGTAACTACACTTAGGTAATTATGTACAGGTTCTGTCTATGTATATCTTCTTGAGGTTATCTTGAGATGATTTCGGGGCTTTAGTGTCCTCGTGGCCCGGTCCTGGTCAACGTCAAGGTAAGGTAACCTCGACTAGGCCTCCACTCCCAGGAAGCAACCTTTGACAGCTGACTAACTCCCAAGTACCTATTTACTGCTAGGGAACAGGAGCATCAGGGTGAAAGAAACTCTGCCTATTGTTTTTCGCTGGCGCCCGGGATTGAACCCGGGACCACTGGATCACGCGTACAGTCCGCTCAGCCGCCGGCTCCCTAATATACTATATATAAAGAATAACCATTCATGTAATAGTTTGACTGGAATAAAATGTAAAATTTCACTTAGGGGCGCCTGATAGCTGAGTGGACAACGCTTCGGGTTTCGTAGTCCTGAGGTTCCGGGTTCTATCTCCGGTGGAGGCGGAGACAAATGGCCAAAAAGTTTCTTTCACGCTGATGCCCCTGTTACTTAGCAGTAAATAGGTACCTAGGAGTTAGACAGCTGCCACGGGCTGCTTCCTGGGGGGGTGTAACAAAAAGGAGGCCTGGTTGAGGACCAGGCCACGGGGATGCTAAGCCCCGAAATCATCTCAAGATAACCTCAAGAAAATGTGGGCAGTTGTGATTTCTGGTGGGCTGGGTGGCTAATGTTACTGGTTGGGTGATAGTAGGTTACCATGTGGGAGTATCCTTCACTACAGTATTTGTTTCTGCTGTATTTATACCGTATTCTGATAAGTTCAATACAAATTGATGTAGCAGCCCTTCTTTCAAATTATGTTGCTTTTTGCTCATGTGCATTATGACTAAAAATTGTCGTATTGGAGTTTTTCAAATAAAATGGACCCAAAGCAACAAGTCTTAGGTCCTCTGGTAGGTTAGGAGAGCAGCAGGTTCACCTAAGGGCTCAGGGAATAGAAAAACTCTCAGAACCCTCTCCAGGTATGCTCCAGGTAAGGTTTCAAAACGTCATGAATACTGTTAATTTAAAGTGTCCTCTCCTAACCTAACAGACTAACCCAGAGGACCTAAAACAGAAAACGAGACAGTACGTCACTTCTGCAAGCCGCTTTCATTTTCTATTACGGCAATTTTTAGCCTTAGTGCGCATAAGAGAGAGAAGCAACATAATTAGTAAGAGGACAGGTTGGATGTAGCGGGTTGTCACCCGAGATACTTGCATAATACTGCAGGTATAGATACATATAACGTGTGTGCATTTACCTGTACATTCAGATTTAGAACACTGGCAATATAGTGCTGTCACTTTAACAATCATGTTTTACGGTTTAATACTGTTTGAACATGGATACTTCTTATGTGTTGCCCTGGGGAGTCCTCAGTGTCACAATCTTGGAAAGAGTCCAAAGAAGCATAGCCCAACTCCACATTTCTTGCACCTTAATTGTCTATATAAGTGTTATAGCAGAAGGGATTCAGTTATATGAATAAGTTTGCAGATGAGTCTGAGTTACGAATGAAAGTACTAAATTAGATGACAGTTATGCCCTTTGAAATGGCCTAGACAAAATTAATGCACAAAGTGGCAGATATATTCAGTGCAAATCAATGCCCCATAATGGAACATGGAATTGGGATAAACAGACCAAACTAACCTATAAATTGTGTGAAAATATGTTAACATTTAGAAAGAAGATCTAGGAATGGTTCTGGATAATAAACTATGTACACTGTATCATCAAAGGTGTTGTGAGAGTAGCCTATGCCCTACTAACAAGTTTCAGAACCACGTTGAAAGTTGGATAGAGTACTGTTATACAAAAACCTCTTCATGACATTTGTGAGATCGAAATAGGAATATGCTGCAGTTATGTGGTGTTCTTATCTCAATAAACTAGAAAGTGTGCAAAGACTTGCTACTCAATGGCTTACAGAACTAAACTCTAAAGACTACAAGTGCTAAATATGGCAAAGATAGAAGTTAAGATGGAAAAAGAGGTGATATGATCTCCACATACAAAATTGTGTCCTGAATTTGTACAGTTGATGAGGAGGAATTTTGTAAACCTGGAACATCAAGAGCAAAAAGCCATAGATTTAAGCAAAGCATACAAATTTATTGAAAAAATATCCAAATGTTCCATTTTGTGAGCAGGGTTGTAGATGGCTGGAAACTTTTTAAGTAAGAAAGTGATGTATGCTAAAACCATCAGCAAGTTTGGAAGCATCATATGACAAAGATTGTAGGGAAGATGGAACACCAAGAGCATAGCTTTCATCCAATAACTACACCTAAGTACTGTAATTACATTACCATTTTGTTACCACTTTACACTTCTATTCCATATGCTCTGTTGTCTTGCACACAATGCTCTCTCGTTGTGACCTCACTCACTTTCTAACTAGTGATAGGAAGTCCATGTAGAGACGAGTACACGAATCTTCCTACAAGTTAATCTCTCAGGGATATACTCGAGTACTATTTGATTGGGATTGGCTGAAGTCATGTCATTTTATTGTAATTAACCAAAAACTGGTTCACAATAGATCCAAACAAATTTTGCATTGATGTCTTCAGGCCTGCATTTACCATGTACGTATTATTTGCACATAGGGTTGACGATGTGTTTAATGCTTCTAATTATTACACTACTATTTTTGTCCTATATGGAAAGCTTTAAAAATAAAGAAGATAAAATTTAGGGGAATCAGTTTGATTTTTTATTTTTTTTAATTGAGACGTTCTTTTTTGGTATTGATACACAGTATATTTGCAGTTTAATTACAGTTTATAAGTAATAGTTGTTTCCGTCCTGGCATACAAGCCAGGTAAAGCCTGAAAATTTAGAGCTGAATCTGATAACCTATGGTGTTTGGTGTTAGTTACTGATAGTTGTAGTGTCCGGTCCGGTATCTTGAGAGCCTCTCCTGACCTGGGTGTTATTTTCCAGGTGGCCTCCAGAAATCCGCGACCTCGGGGACACTCGCATCTCTCCACCTCAGAGGTCGCCATCGCTAGGGCACTTCTCACCATACCAGACCAATCAACCACTTATTCTCCAGCAACCCCATTTAACACCTCTACTCTACCTACGCACAGTGTCTCCAAAATCTCCCTACAATCTTCTTCTGGAGTTAATAGTTGTAGTGTTGCTTCTGCTACCTTGGGTACACTTGATGCCTCGGTGTCTGTTCTAAGGGGTTCTTCTTGCCCAGAATGTGGGAAGATGTTCCGAGGGGATTATCACAAATACAATCTCAAGAAGCATCTCACAATTCATGCTGGTCTACGACCTTATCCATGCCCAGTATGCAACATGGCATTCAACCAGAAAGTGTCCATGAAACGTCACTTTGCATCTGTGCACAAAGTCTTTGAGCCAGTCAAGCCAGCAGATTAGTAATGAATGAATTCGGCTAGTGTATAGGGGCAAGCTTCATGAGAAAATCTTTATTGTAATGGAAAAAGTAATATTTTTGGATGTGAATTGATAGTGTGAATGGCATATGTGAAGATCATCAGCATCATCATCAGTACTGAAAGAGCTTGCTAATCTGGACCCTCTTAACTCGGACCTTTGGGTTATCTGAACAAAATTGAGTCCAAGTTTTGTCTGCCAAACTTCAAGAGAAATCTTGGTTACCGAGAGTTTCAGCCAGGTTACTGAACGATATCAAGGGACTTATGCTCACCAGAAGCCTTAGCAGCTGGCAGTCAAAACTGACCTTGCCAATCTACCCTAACGATGTAAATTTATGTTTATTGTGTGTGGAAATATGAATGATATTGGTTGTGGTTGAAGAAAATTATGAATATGTTCAGTTTTGGATGTTCCCAGTAAGAATTCCTGCTAATCCGGATGTCTGGCAAACTCTGAGAGGAGTGGGCCCCTATATGATCCAGATTAGCGAGCGTTATAAACATCGTCATCATCACTCCCTACCACAGTTACAGTACCACCTTTTCCACTTTCAGCGGTGAGTGAGGCATTTTCCTAGAGAAAACTGAAAAGTAATACAGTACAGGGATAAAAATACGGTTGCCCTTTCAAAAGGCAGTTTGAATACTAATGTTGCCTATGTGGTTCCAATTGCTCAATGGGGTGTTTCAGCAGTCACAGGAAGTCACAAAATAATTTGAAATCAGATGTTATCAGCTCCTGGTTCTCCATCATAGTACAATGATCATAGCACTTACCTGGGCAACACGATGGTCTTCAATGTACTCTATATACTGTATTATATTTATTTTGGTATTTTTACTTTTTCATACAGACTAATTTTAAATGTACTGTACTGTACAGTATTTCACATTTCAAAAAAATAATCAATATTTTTTTGTTTGGTCCTGGCTCATATCACAATATAATGCTGACAAAAGCCAGCTGCTGACCTCTGCCCAGGCCAAAATAAGTGTGAGAAATATGATTTTTTGTACATTTCTTAAATTTTTGAATACAAATCTACCATTACGTAAGAACAACAAATTACAGTAAACTTTTTTGCAAACATGCAGGATGACAATTTGAATGATATTGCATTTTGAGGGTTTAAGGGATCATACCACAACAATAGTTATTACTCATTTAATTCTTTCTTTACATAAGAAACACTAGGCATTTAAACAGTGAACTAAACTTGTCATTCTCCAGTAAATCATCCCAGCAGTCACTTTATTCTAATAGCAATGTATTTTATCTGAGTTGTCATAGACAAAAATGCTGGTTATTGACTCTTAATAAATAAACTGCTTCTAATTCTTGTTTTGCACCATTTTGTGTGCAGTTTAAATTCATACCAAATTTCCCAATTGCTTGCTCATCAAATCTGTCTTACTGGCTTTCTACTCTCAAATTTACTCTTATAAAAGTATGTGAATAAAGACAAATGTCTGTGGCTTGCATCATGACTCGGTTTTGTTTTGCATTTAGAGTATTAAAGTGCAGTGCTGTACTGTTGTTTACATTCTGGTATATTAAAATAGTGTACTTTTGAATTGTAATACATAACACTGGTATGGCACTAAAGTTAGGTCAACACTAATGGGTTAACACACACAAAGGGGTTCTGTACTGTATACAGTAGTCATGAGATTGTTGGCATTCACCGTGCAACTTTTGCATCACTGCTCTAAACTTACTCATTATTTCTCGTTGAGATGATGTCTCACAGACATGATATTACAGTATATTTCAGTATTTGGCAATACAATTACTGAATTTTTTGTGTGAAAGTGCAGTGATGTAAATCATTTCTATTTCATATTTTTTAATATTACTAATGCACAGAATATAGTTTATACATTATGCATTTTTTTAAGTAACAATTTTTTTTTAATAATGTCCCTTTTGGAGATTTTGTCTCACACACCGAACAGTGTTAACCAAACGCAACCCATTAATTGGTATCTTTACCAAAGACACATTTTGGTTTTCACATTTCTCTCTATCACACTGTGATTCCATTGTTAATCTTGAGAACATATCTTGGGATTAACTTCCAACTTGAAGCATTTTTGTATAGTAATAATACAGAACTTCCTGTTAATACCAATGATAAAGCCTTGTAGTAACTTGTTTTTAGAACTAAAGGTTCTGATATTGGGGCCTTTGCATAATACCCAGACAACAAATTAACCTGTCTACAGCAGTCTTACTCCATATTATCTTTAGACATATTATGCTTGACAGTCTCATTTATAATTGAGATGCCAATTTTGTTTTCTGCTGAAGTAATTTTTGTGGTTTTATGAATTTCCTTTTTATTGTATAACCTCTCAGTAGCAGAGTTGTTTCAAATTTGGAATGTATATTTTGCTGAATTATGAAATGTAATGCTGTTTACATTACATAATTTTATGAGAGCCACTTGTATTTACAATTCTGGCATAGCTAAATACATATTTTTATTTGATGTATGGTATGGTATGGTTCTGTAGCACCCTTCTGGCAGTTCTTGAAATTTTGTGCAACTTTCAGTATTTGCATGGGAGCAGTATATTGTTACTGTATAACAATACCAGACCCATATATCTTGCACATTGTAATATGATTCTTACAATATATGACCACATGTCTACAGTGTGATAATTCCGGGGTTTATGGATCCCTGGCTATGCTTCCTCCTTATTGATATCCTTTGAGCATTCAGATTTTTTTTATCAAATTTTGACACTGGTGGCTGGTTTATCTGAGAATTTTTCAAGAACTTACCAAGTTCCCCACTGAAGCCAGGTCTGCTGGTATTTTTTTTTCTTATACAGTATTTTATAAACACTTTAGCATTCCGATGATGCTAAAATGCATTTACCATACTATGAAAGTAAACATTCCGTTGATGCTAAAATGCTTCATGTCAAAATTCCTGAAAATCACTGTTTTTTTTTTTTTGGGGGGGGGAGCAAAGCACAGTGTGTGAATAGCTTATCAGGGGATCAACCAAAGTATCAGGGAGGGTGTGGGGGCTATCCAGAGATAACCGCAGCAAACTACCTGTCACTCAAGATGATAATTGCTTTGCTTGTGAGAACTTTCACTATGCTTTGCACATTACCAGCTGGAAAAATATAAAAGTTGTTTGTTTTCTTTTTACAGTGACATTGACTGATAATGTACTGTGCACTCATTTCTATATGTTTCATGTTTATATTGAAAAATACATGAGAAATGTTGAGAAATATAGGAGAAATGTTGATGGGGACATAGATATTCATATATTCAGTACCATCAAGCAAATTTTATTATCAGATCATATATTATTTTGCATTTATACTGGCAAACTCATTCATCCACTACATAAGCCCTTTACTAAATACGATTTTTACTGTACACAATCTTAGTCAGAGACCTGACCTGGATGCAGGGACATTGATCCTTGGAACCATCACAAGGTAAGGTACTGTACAGTGATCTGCACAGTCTTAGCTATACTGAACAATACTATACACAATCACATTTTTTGTATTATCTCATTGCTAGAATTAAATTGCTATAAGTTTGCTTTACAAATGCCTTGGGATCCTGCAATATATTGTATTGATTAAAGATTCTTTTTAGCTTTCTTGTGACACCTTTTGGAACTCTTAAGATTTATTTATTGCAATGTCTTAGGTTTTCCTTGATATTTTATTGCCTGATGCAAGTTGCTTCAGATTTGTGACATGAATTCACCATGAATTTTACAGTACACTGTATATATATACAGAGGAACCTCGGGTGACGAGCATCCCCATCTTCGAGCATTTCAGGTAACGAGCGAGCCACTGGCAGAAATTTTGTCTCGATTAACAAGCTCGGTTAACGAGAAAACCACGTGGTGGTTCCTAGCGTTCCCGCTGGTTCTCAGATGCCTCCGACGACAGTGTTGTTGTTGTTTCACAAGACGAGCATTTCACATGACGAGCTCGGTGCCAGAACATACAGTATTAAATTCGTTAACCAAGGCACCACTGTACATGTACTGCACTGTATTACCCGAGACTTATGTAGCACACTTATGGAAGACTTGGGAAAGGATCACAAAAGATATGTCTCTGAAGACAGTGTTACACTCCTGCACTACTGGCGGGTCACTGACCTAAGGACAGTATAAAATGATTACTAACAGGTTACTGGCAGGTCACTGACCTAAGGACAGTATAAGATGATTACTAACAGGTTACTGGCAGGTCACTGACCTAAGGACAGTATAAGATGATTACTAACAGGTTACTGGCAGGTCACTGACCTAAAGATAGTATAAGACTCCTGGAGTACTGTACTGGCAGGTCACTGAACTGGAAAGATGTATGTTAATATGTTTTGAGACCATCATATTGTATTGCACTGTATTGATTTTAAGCTTTGTTTCACCCTTCAGGCAATCTTAAGAATTAATTTTATTTAAACAATAATTATAGCATTTGTTATTGGTTACAATGTTTTGGTAAGTTACTCCAAATTTTGAATTCCTATGTCTTAAATACAATACATTGGAACCTCGAGTGACGAGCACCTCAAATTACGAGCATTTTGAGTAAGAGCACGCCGATCCCCGACAATTTGTCTTGAATGGCAAGCGCTTGTTTGATTAACGAGAAAACCACATGGTGCGTTCCCGCTGCTTCTTGCACCTTCTCGGACGTCTCCAATGCTGCAAATAATTTTTTTTTTTTTAAAGATGCCAATGATGCTGGATGTAAGGGGGTGACTGCTGTGATGTTGCAAAGTATTTTTTTTTTTGGTAAAATAAACAAAAACAAAAAAAGGAAAAAATTGAAAAAATAACAAATGTCAAAAAGGTTCGTTTAGTGTATGTCAGGCAGGCTGCTCCATGTTTCTTAAGGAAAAAAAATGAACAAATTAGAAACAAGGAAAAATGTCATAAAGGTTCATTCAGTGTGTGCGAGATAGGCTGCTCCATTATTAATAAATAAATGAAAAATATATAACAAATTAAACACTTTTGAAACAAAGATTGTCATAATGGAGCAGCCTACCTGACATAAACTGAACAAACCTTTTGCTATAAAAAAATGGGAAAAAAAAAATAAAAAAATTAACAAATTTGAAAAAAGAACAAATGTCATAAAGGTTTGTTCAGTGTATGTCAGGTACGCTGCTCCATGTTTTCTAACAAAAAAAAAATGATCAAATTTGAAACAAGGAAAAATGTCATAAAGGTTCGTTCAGTGTATGTCAGGTAGGCTGCTCCATTATTTAAAAAATTGAATATCATAGTGATGTTTTTCGGTGGTATAACTTATTATTTTTGTTTCCAATATTTTAAATGGGGAAATTCGTTTTGAAAGACGAGCATTTCACATGACGAGCTCGGTGCCGGAACGGATTATATTGATTATTGTTAATCGAGTTTAATCCGTTCCTGGAGACGCCTCGCCTTCCGAAAACTCGCATTCCGAAGTTAATTTCCCCATAAGAAATAAAGGGAAATGAATTAATCCGTTCCTGACTACCCCAAAAACCCCACATCAAACTAAATTTTTATACTAATTCATCTAAATAAACCTACAAAAGTATGTTCCAGTTATTACTTACCTTACTGTCGAGTGCTGTAGGCGTATGGAAGATGGTGAGGAGGGGGGAGGAGGAGAGGAGTTAGTGTTTGGAAGGGGAGTCCCCTTCCATAATCACATCAGGCAGTGAGGACCTTTCTGGTGTGCTCTCCCTGGGACGTTTAACCTGAGTGCCACTAGGTCCTGGTTGAGGTTCACTGCTCGATTTCTTCACCAAATATTTGTCCATGAAAGCTTGCTTTTCCCTTCTTCGCAAGCTCTCTCTGTAGTAAGGCATCACACTGTCATTGAAAAGATTAAGACAACGGCCTACTACAGTTTTGTCTGGGTGAGTGTGTTCAATAGTTGTTTGAATCTCTTCCCACATCTGACACACCTTCTTCATTACTGCAGAAGGGACATTCGCTGGTGCTGTTGCCACCACCTCCTCCTCCACTGCAGAATCATTCGCTGCTGTGTTGGCTTCCTGTTCCTGTTGAAGGGCTAGGAGTTCTTCGGTGGTCAGTTCTTCGTTGTGTTCTTCCACCAACTCCTCCACATCATCACCATCCAATTCCAAGCCCATTTTCTGGCCTAGACTAACAATTTCCTCAACAATAGGCGCATCATTTATAGGCTCAAACCCCTCAAAGTCTAGTTCTCTCACACCTTCAGGCCACAATTTTCTCCAGCCAGAGATCAGGGTTCTTTGAGTCACTTCTTGCCAGGCTTTGTCAACGAGTTTTAACCACTGCACTGCGCAAAGCGCCTTTAGGCGCTCAGAGAGTTGTGCTCTTTGTTTTTTAATTTGGCTATATTTTAATGTTTTTTAATGTTTTCATTACTATTTGTGTTTTGAAATGGAAATAGTTGACTTTGGAAACATTTTGACATTAAATTTACCTGAACATTTGTAAAAATAACAAAAATATGTCCTTGACAATTGCACCAAGACGTTTTTGCCGAAAATAGGTGAGCAGTGCAAGGGTTAAAGCACTAAAAATGTTAAAATGCTCTCTCCAGAACTCTTTGAGGGTGAGGTTTGTGGCTTCAGTCACTTCAAAACATTTCCGGAAAAGTGCCCTTTCATACAGTTTCTTAAAATTCGCTATGATTTTCTGGTCCATAGGCTGAATTAGAGGAGTGGTGTTAGGAGGAAGGAATTTAACTGTGAGGAATTTATTGCATTGAGGCATCAAATTTACCAAGGGTTTATATTGCTCGTACATGACAAATTTGCAATATAATTTTTGGAGACATTTAAGTATGTACTGTGAAAGTACATACTTTCATAGTACATACTTAAGTGCTCTAATCTTCTTAACAAACGTGACCTGACATCAGTTTACCCCCTCCAGCCTTTTTCCTGTCTGTCTCGTATATTTATATTACATCTGTGAAAGTTCCATGTCTCTTTTGCTGGGGCCCAGTTCTAGATGTACTATTTGTTCTAGATTTTGCATAGGAGATAAAGTACCTGTACTGTATTTTGGAGTCCTCTCTTATTTTGCTGATGGCCATTTGCTCTTTTTGCCTCTCCTAGATTTAATATGATTCTTGTAGCTTTACTCCAATCGTTTTTATTTCTCTACATAATCTTTGTCATGTTTGGGATAGTCTCTTTTGGGTAGGGTGGGGGATTCAAGTTACAATATTTTGCTATTCATTTTCTTCATCTATAGAATGTCGTTCTCATTCCAATCTGCATCTCTTCCTCATTTTTCTTAAGAGGTATGTGGATTAAGCATATTTCTAGTGCTACTGAGCTTATTTTCTCGAGGCACTGGTTTAGGTTTGCATATTCTAGCTGTTCTTCCCAGCTTATATCTGTGAGGTCTTGGTTTATTTGTTCCCAGTTAATATGTTTATTATTAAAATTTTATTTGCTACGTACTGTATTTATGATAAGCCCAACTTACTTTCAACACTGTTGGCCAACAATTCTATACAATAACAACATAATTAGTACCTACAGGTTCATATTCCAAATAACCAACCACCAGCATCGTTCTTCCAAATGTATCTGGAACCACCGAAAGTTATGATCTGATATTGATATACAAGATGGCATAGTGTTTTAATTT